CCCCCCCCCCCAAGCCTGGAGGTGGTGGGGAATGAGGGTGTGGCTCTGGGTCTCCTCCCAGCCCCCACCCCAGCCTGCTCCCCCCCCCCAACACCAGCCACCCAGTCCTAGCAGACCCTCTCTCTAAGAGTGTCATAAATTGAGGGTGGGGGCCAAGGACAAAGAGCTGGGCGGGAGGGCTCTCCAAGGATGAGCAACAGCAGATTAGGGGTAATGGTACCCCTGGAGGGCAGGGGGTTTGTCCAGGCTGGCCTAGGGGCAGCTCTGGGGTTCCCACCGATCTCCCTCCACCCACTACCAGCCCCAGCACTGGAGGCCTGCCCTGTTCCCCTCCCCCATCCCTCCACCAGGAAGGGTCATTAAACCAAGCAGGCCTGGGAGGGGGGGGACAGAGTCTGGGAGAGGGGCTTCCTCTAGCCTTTTCCCTGTGTGTTCCCCACCCCACTTCAAAGAGGGGGTGTCACTTTCAGCATTTCCGTAGGGGTGTGTGCTCAGCTCCAAGTTGTCAGAGGTGGGGGACAGGGATTGACCACGTCAGACAGTGTCCAGAAATGTCCCCTTCAGCAGTTCTTGGGTCTGGTGGACGGGGTGGGGGGTCGGGAGGTAGGGGTGGTGACCAGCAGCCACTGGGTGTGTGTGTGTTGAGTCTCAGATGGCTGTTCCACAGCCGGGGCCTCTAAAATCTTCCTGTCTCAGGAATCCTAGACCGACAGGTCCCTTGGGGCCACACCTGCCGCAGTTCTCCTGTGAGCCCCACGGTTTGGTTTGGGTGGCCAGATGTCTAGGGAAGGGGACAGACTTCCCCATTCTCATTGGAGGCCTGGGGGCACTGCAGGGGTCCCCTAGGTGGAGGAGGACCAGGTCCAGGAAGTCCCTCAGCTGACCCTTCCGCCCTACACCCCAGGGAATAAGTCCCCGGGTCATGTGTGGACTTTGGGGTTCAGGTTAGGCTGAGGGTGACCCCTTAGACTCTCTGTTTCGGAGGTAGATTCAACTTTCTTCTTCCTCTGTGGTCCCTTGATTTCAGGCCTGCTGGGTTCCTCCCACTGTTTTATGGGTGGTTTGTGTGGGGGTCGAGGGTGTGGCCTGTGGGACCTACATCCCTGTGCTGGCTCCTGCTAGGCCTAGGAGGGTCCTCTTCCTGTCACAGAATGCTATATTCTGGGACATTTACCCCCAGACCTATGACCTCTGCAGAGAGCAGCATAGGACACTGATACCTGGCCAAACCCTAGCCTGGGTGACCTCTGAACTTTGGTTTCCCCCATCCGCAGCACAGACCGTCCTGCCCAGGACCCTCCATCACCTGTGTCCTGTCCACTCTGTCCACTTTCTCCCCATAAGTAGGCAGATCAGGCCCAGAGACCAGCTGAGGTCTCTGAGGAAGCGGTATGAGAAGGGCTCATTGCCTAGGGCTTGCTCACAACAAGGTCATAATCTTGACCAAGGTTCCAGGCCTCTCAGGCTAAGCAACATGAAGAATATAGAGCCAGAATCCAGAACCCAGAGGTACTCCAGGGTCTAGAACAGGGGCGTGGCCAATAAGAAAGCAAGGACACCAGGCCCCTCCCCCACTGTCCTGCTTATGGGACAATAACCCATGGTGTCCCTGGTGGGTCTAACCAGAGGGGACCCGAGAAGCTCCCTAGGTGTGGGTAGGAAGGGCTTGAGCAGGTGTGAGGGATTCTGAGGAGGGATGTATCTGTGGGGCGCAGGTGTGGTCTAACCTTGTCTCCTATGTTCCCCCAGGAGTCTACAAACACTTGAATGAGCCCGACACCAGCTTCTGCCCCTGAGTGCCCAACGTGACAGCAAGGAGCTCTTTGGTAGCCCCTGGCATGCCCCACTTCCCCTCAGCCTGAGTCGGCGGCCCCTGGTCCTGCCCCTGCCGGCCGCCACCCTGCACTGTCCCGGCTCCCCCGAGGTTCCCACGCTGCGGTGCAGCCAAGACCCTTCCCCACAGGGGCCACCCCCACCACCCGCCCCTGGTGCCCGGGGTGGCCCGGCCCGTAGGGCCATGAAGCTGCAGGCTGTGATGGAAACCCTCATTCAGAGGCAACAGCGAGCCCGGCAGGAACTGGAGGCCCGGCAGCCGCCGCCACCCCCACCACCCGAGCCCACTGGTATCCGGGCTCGGACCACCGAGACGGATGAGGACAGGGAGCCTGAGAATGCCCGAATGCATAGGACGCAGATGGCTGCACTGGCTGCCATGCGGGCCGCTGCTGCTGGCTTGGGACATCCATCCTCTCCTGGTGGCTCTGAGGATGGGCCTCCTGGCTCCGAAGATGAAGACACAGCCCAGGAAGGGACTCTGGGTTCACCTGTCCTGCGTGGACGAGGCCGGGAGGGACACACGGAAGGAGAGGCGCATCTGTTAGACATGGACTCCGATGATGACGCGTGAGTTGGGGTTCAGGACGGCAGCGTCTGATGTTTCTCCTACTTTGGAAAAGTGGGGTTACTAAGGGGATGCCGCATGACTGGCCAAGTGTTTGCTGGGTGAACCTGTATTCCTTGAGAGTTCTCCACGCAGGGATCCTGAGACTCAGTGTTCTCTGTGGCTGTGCTAAATGCTGCCGAGAAAATTAGACTGCAGTGTGGGGGAGGGGTGAGTTTTGACAGAAGGTACCTGGAAAATGTTGAACTGTTTACAGTGAGCGGAGTGTGGGGAACCACACACACCAAGGTCCTGAGGCCAGAACCTTTGAGAAGATGTATTGGGGTCCTCTGTAAGAGTTTGTTCATCAGGTAGAGTGGGGTGTGGGCAGGAACCCACCCACAGCCCTGACAGGCCTGTGGCTGCTCTTCTTGTTTGCAGAGAGAGAAACTGAGGCAGGGGCGATGGGTGGGCCAGGCCTTGCCTGTCTCCCCTGACGGAGGGTACCCTGTGTCCACTGCAGGAAGCCCAAGTGGGAAGAACAAGACTTGGAAGAACTAGGAGAGGAGGAGGAAGAAGAGGAGGAGGAGGAAGATGACTTTGAGGAGGAGGAGGAGGAGGAGGGCCTGGGCCCGCCAGGGTCGGCCAGCCTGGGCTCCGCAGGCTTATTTGCCCACAAGGCCCAGCCAGCTCAGGCTTTCCGTGGAGATGGTGGTCCCAGGATGCTGGGTGGCCCTGAGCGCCTGGGACCCGGCCCGGCCCACCCCACCCACACAGCATCCCAGATGCCACCGCCAGACCACGGAGACTGGACGTTTGAGGAGCAGTTCAAACAGGTAGGTCACGTAGGCCACGCGCTTGGGTCCAGCCGTTAGTTCGGGGAGGCTCTTGATCGCTCCCACCCCCACCCCCACACCCCAGACGTGGTGAGGATCCTGGGGAGACCCAGTTTAGATCCTGTGTGTGGCTGAGGGACACAGGTTGAGAACAGTGTGAGACTCTGCCGAGTCTTCCCTCCTCGGTAGAATCGTGGCTTTGTTGGTGTTGGGGGGCAACTTGGTGGTAACGAGCCGCGCAGACATGAGGACTGCGTGTGGATCCCCAGCATCCCTGGAAACGCTGTGCACAGTGGGTGTGCTTGCGGTCCCAGCCCTGGGAGACAGGAGTACCCCTGGGGCTCGCTGGCAGGTAGCCTAGCTGAGCCAGAGAGAGACCCTGCCTCAGACAATACCGTGGAGAGCCTAGTGGGAGGCGCCCGGCATCCGTCCGTGGTTTACACATGTACTTATGCGCAGCATGCGTGAGGTGGCTTGGTGACCCGAAACAGGCTGTAGAGTCCAACTCTGGAGATCTGTGAGGTTTGCAGGGCCTGTGGCCTGAGCTACAGTACTGGGAGGGAGGGGGGCAGTGGGCTAGGGTCCTGCGGCAGTGCTGGGCTGTGTTGGTTGGCTAGGTAGAGGGTGTCCGTGGACCCCCATAGGTGTCTGGGCCAGGGAGGGGCCTGAAGGAAGCTCAGACCGCCCTAGCCAGTCCCTTCAGGCGCCCTAGCTCTTCCCTGCAGGCAGCCAAGCTGGAGGAAGTGGCCAGCAGGGAACCTTTGAAGTCTGCAGGCCAATGGAAACCAGATGGTTGGCCTGCCCGCTGGGGCCTGCATTCCAGCCTGGCCAGCTGGCCCAGCCGACCCCTGGGTGTGTGGCCAGGGTGGAAACCAGCTCCCGGGCTGGCTCCAGAGCTAAGTATTGTGTGGTGTGGCCAGAAGGTAGCCCCAGAGCTCGGCTGAGGACCCAGACGCTCGCTCCCTGGGTGACAGAGCTGATTAGGATGACTTCTGGGGGTGACCTGAGCTCTGCTGGTGGGGGGCCACCAAGGAGCAGGGGCCCTTTGGAGAATCATCTGATGTGGAAGAGTGTGCCCGGGAAGCCATTGAGCTGAGATACCAAGAGGACTAAGTTAGGTTAGGGTCCAGTACTTGTGGGCAAGACGTGGTAAATACCCCCATTCTGGTTGCCAGGCCGTGCAAAGGCCCTGGAGCACAAAGAATAGCTTCGAGGAACTGAGAGGAGAATTCACCCTCAGTGCCCTCACGGGACTTGCTGAGACAGGGCCCGGCTGGGTGCAGCCGCCTCGCCCTCCTTCTCTGCTTCTCGCTCGCTCGCCCTGGCTTGCTTAGGTGTGTGTTGGGCAGTCTGCCAGTTGACTTGTCAAATGGACTTCACCGCTCTTGGGTGTGACCTCGTCCCACACTAGACCAGGAGGTGGCCGTGGGCTTAAAGACTGGACCTCCCATTCCCCAGGAGGTTCTCACTAAGCACACCACACATAAAACGATTTGTGTTTGGCTGGGTGTGTGTGGGCTCCACCCCACTCAGTGCCTCGGTGTCCCTGATCTAGTACAGACGCGGCTGTGCTTTTCAGCTGCGAGCGACATTTATCCGTTTTCCTGACATCTGCTCAGCTCCCTGCAAACCCCAACGCCAAGCAAGTTGGTCATCCCTGTTCCACTGGTCCCAGCCTACGGTCACAGATCATGGGTACCCCTGTGCACGCCGCCAGACCCCCCACCCCACCCCCGCCCGCCTCCACACTGACTAGGCATAAAAAGGGCAACAGGGCCAGGGGTTGGCTGCCCCACCCCCCACCCCCAGTGCTGCGAGACAAAGGGGAACTTCGAGAGCCATTGTGGGGGCCTTTCTGGGGGATATCCTGGGTCAGGGTCAGGGGTCATGCAGAGACACAGCCTGGGAGGGGGTTTGTGTACACAGAACGCCGGGGAGGCGGCTCCCTGGGTAAGGGCCTGCTTCTGCATCCCATGGACCCACGTGGCGTGCATCTGTTATCCCCAGGGCTGGGGAAGCTCAGAAAGGGGAATCTCTGGGGAGAGAAGAGCCAGGCAGAGGTCCTGGGGAACCAACGGTGTGTTAGGGGCCAAGTGGTCTTCTGGGAACCAAGACTTCATGGTGGCTGGATGTGAGATGATGTCAGCAGAAGCCGGTTCTTGTGCTCGGACTCCTTTTCCGCCTTTGTAGAAGCTTCACGTTCTGCCCTGCTGGCCTGGCACCTGTGCGGCCTGGCCTGTGTTGACTCTGGCGTCTGCCCCACTCCCTTCCTGGCACGTGGCAGTGTTGGCTGGCCGGCCACTTGGCACTGTCTCCGTGTCTTCCTTCCCAGCCTCAGCCACGGCTGGTTTCCACCAGCTAAACCTAGACAGCTGGGGTTGGCCCTGGGCTGTGGGTCTGAGGAGGGGAGACTGGGGCGCGGTTCGTGGCTGTGATTAGGATCTGGGCCTCCTGGCATTTGGACGCACATCCTGTAGCCTTCCTGTCCCTCTGCGGCCACACCCAGGCTCAGAGTGGCCTTGCTGTGATTTTTTTCTGAGCTGGCGGTCTTTTGTGAGGATATTTTGTTTCCCAAGACAGAGTTTCTCCGTGTAGCCCTGACTGTCCTGAAATTTGCTCTGTAGACCAGGCTGGCTTTGAACTCACAGGGATCTCCCTGCCTGTGCCTCCCGCGTGCTGAGATTAAAGGCGGGCACCACCACACCCAGGTTTTTTTTTCTGAGGCTGAGTCTTGGTGTGTAGTCTGGGGCTGCTCTCCTGCCTCAGACTCCTGGGTTCCAAGATAATGGGATGCATGCACTGCCATGCCTGGCCTTTAGTTCGTTCATGGGTTCAAGATCATAGACAGACAGAACTGCTGTCTGGTTCAGAATGTTTCGGCCTCTGCAGCTCCACCCTCACAGCGTGGTTACCTATCTCCTACACAGCTTCCCACATTCGTGTCCCGTTATGGACACTTCTGGGGCTTGTCAGGATCTCTCTGAGCACAGTGTCGAAACGCCACTCCACTCCGCGGTCCGTCCGAGTCCCTGTTCCTGTTCATGGCCTGCAGTACTCTGGCGTGTGGGCCGACTGTTCTGCGTGTCCATTCCTTCTGGGCTGGATACCGGGCTGTTGGTACCTTTTGGCTCTGCAGCTCCCCATGGGTTTTTTTCTTGTTCTTCATGGGCGTGTGCCTGAAGTGGAATTGCTAGGTAGAGCAGTAACCGGAAGGTGCCTATTAGAAGTTCTGTGGACGGCAGCTGTCTGTCCAGGTTCCCTTGTGCAGGGCCGATCTTCCCCAGCCACACCCAGCAGCTCCTGCTCACTGTGGAACCCGTGCCTGACCTCAGAAATAGAAAGGAAGCCCACTGTGGTAGCACATGCCTGTCCCCAACCCAGGAGAGCCCAAGGCAGGAGCATGGAGGAGTTCAAGACCAGCCTAGGCTCTAGAGCAAAACACTGTCTCAAAAATAAATAGGGCCCAGCTCTGGCCCTGCGCTCCCCCTCCATGCGTGGTACATCTCATTCAGCACTTGGGAGTGGAAGCAGAAGTTATACCTGAGCTATATCCTGGCTCCCCGAGACCCTGCTGCAAAAAAAGAAAAGTGAGCGGGATCCTTATTCGTCCTACAAGGAAGGGACTAGAAGGGAAACTGAGGCACAGGATTGTCATAGTCCCACGTCGGAAGGACTCACTGCCCCCAGCCCTCCTCAGAGTCTGGCCCAGGGTGGGTGGATGGATATGGGACCTGGTGACGGTGGCCTCACTGAGACAGGGAGTCCCTCCCTGGCAGGTCAGGGGTGAGCATTGCTCACACCTCTAGACTCAGAACCTGGTGCTGTAGCCCAGGCTGGCCCAGAACTCTCCATCCAGAAAGCTGGGGTTCCGGGCACACCCCTGCACCCTCCCTTCCTAACCCTAACACGTTAAAAAAAAAAATGACATTTCTTTCTTTACTTTGAGTGAGCAGGGGCATGTGCATGTGGAGGTCAGAGGGGTCAGCTCTTGCCTTCTTGTGTGCGGGTCTTGACGGGGTTGGCTGTAAGATCCTGTACCTCTACGCTGTCTTGTCCTCTCCCACTAAAGTCTGCTTCTGATTCTAGGAGAGCAGCCAGCACTCCAGTGGAGAGGGGGGCGGGCTGCCGCGGTGGCTGTGGCTGTTCCCTCCTCCCTCGCACAGGGAAATGGTCAGCCAGCCAGGTGTTAGAGGTGGGGGCTCTCACCGTCCTGTCCCTGTCACCTGGTGTGTCCGCCCCGGGCAGAACCTTCAAGGCTGGCCACTCACACGGGCTCTCACGATGTGAGCCCTCTGGGGCCACAAGGGAGGAGGTGGGTGCTTGTTCCCTGTCTTGCCTAGGAGACATAACGCTGCACGGGAAGGGACACGGTGGCTGGGGCTTTGCTGAGTGTCTAAGAGTCCACTGACCAGGCAAGAAAAACAGGGTCTACTTCTAGGAGAACATTCTGGAAAACCGAAATTAGCCGTGGTGGAGCAGTGGAGGAGAGAAGTGCCGGGTAGACCCAGAGGCAGGGACTAGAGGGGGCCAGAAGGTGAAGGATAGGCTACCGTTTTCTGTAGAGAAGGGTGTGCCAGGCAGACCCAGCCACCCAGTATTGGCCCCAGAGGTCAGGCTCCTGGTTCTGAGGGCAGCATTGTCTTTGCCATTGCTGTCCATGTCTGAGGCATGTTTGTCTCTGGGCTGACAGCCAGTCTTGGCGGCAAGCCCCAGCCCGGAGTTCCTGGGGACTCCGGAGTTCCTGGGGCTCAGGAGTCCCGTGCGCTGGGGTGTCAGGGACTGGAGGTGTTGGGAAGCCCCCGGGGCCGCCTCATCAAAGTCGCTGTGGCTACTGGCACCGAGCCAGCGAGCTGTGGCAGGCACAGGAGGGTGCCTGCCCGCCAGCCCTGGCACTGCGCCCCGACCCGTGCCAACCCCCGGGAACCGTGCTGACTCAGCCGGAAGAACCTTATCTGGTTCCTATGCCGCCAACTTGGCCACCGGGTCACCGCCGCCGGCCA